AATTAAAATGTAAAAAAAAATAATAAATTAGGTGCTCTATCCTAAATCTACTCTTATAATAAGTGGTTTGATTGGTTTTCTTGTTAACGTAACCAGCATTCTATTGAATTAAAAAGAAAATATGAGAACATATTTATTAATTAAATTCGATTTTAGGCTAAATATTAATTACTTTTTATTAATTTGGTATTATTTATTTATTTATTTATTTGTTTATCAGTAATGTTCTCAAATATGTTATGTGCTCTAAAATCATAATTTCTCATGTTATTTATTAAGGCCTGAAATATAAGGTAATCACTTAATTGGGTACCAGTTTTTAATTTATCACATAAAAGTATCTAATTTTATATTTTTGTAACAATAAAATGTCTTTTATTGCAATCTAATTTTTTTGTTAGCCAGAATATCATGTAATTAACATCTGGCTTTTATTTAAATGAATTTTTTTTTTTGAACTTTTCTCTTTTCCAACTCAGCTACATCCTCTAACCTCTACCTTCCCCCTCCCCCTCTCTCTCATACGAGAAATTCTTAGGTAGATTTAGTCTACCACATCAGTCATAGACACATTCAATAAAATAAAGTCACATCAACAATTTATTTTTTTTTACGTCCCACATCAATAACTCCTAAATCAACGCAACCATATTTTCTATCTCTAACCAAACGGGAAATATCAAAGAACTAACATGACTTCCTTTCTATTTCTCTTATTTTCTTTTCAATTCTCACTAAACAAACACCATTGCATTTTCTTTTTTACATTAAATCTCTTATTTCTGCATTTTTCTTTTGGTAGTTTAAGGTTAGAATCGTGTGCTCTATCTTTCCTTTTTTATTTTTTATCTTTCTCCATTTTTTTCTCTCTCTTTTCTTTTACCCTATTTCTTTTTTTTTTTTTTTCTTTCCGCTTCAGTTGCTATTGGAGCAATACCCAAATTCGATGAAAATCTTTCCGTTTTCATTTTTTCTCTCTCTAGCTTTATTTCTTCCTCTTTTATTTTTTATCATTTTTTTATTTCTTTTTCGCTTCAGTCATTGATTTTATATGGAAATCTAATGAAAATTGATTTTTTCAGGATCTAAATCCCATGAAGATAGACTAGTATGATTTCCATGAATAGAAATTGATTTTGAAATTTTTGGAGTTCGAGATTTGGAAATCTCGTGTATAGCAGATTGGTACTCAAATGATAAATTGATGGTAGAAATAAAACCTTCATAAGATTCCGAATGTTTTGATAAAAAATTTGTAAATTTTGGATTAGATACAACCTTCAGCCACGCCAACGATGGCGGAATCGACGACGTTTCCAGTAAATAAATTTGTTATATACATTTTTTTAGAGCTATGGCGACGATTTTGAGAAGAAACTGGGAGAGAGAGAACGAAGTTGTAGAAGGTAAGAGAGAGAGTATGAGCTTGAGAAGAGAAGTGCTTTTTGTAATTAAAAAAATGTCCATGTGTCATATACGTGGCATTCTAGCTAATGGAAAAATTGAATTAGGCCAAAAGACATTTTATTATTATAAAAATATAAAATTAGGTATTTTTAAGTTATAAATTGAAGTTGGTATCGCATTAAGTGATTATGCATATAGTTTAGATCTTTCCAGCGAAATTAACCCCAAAATGATTTTAAAGGCCCACTTTTTTATTACTCCTTCCTTTTTTTTTTATGTAGGCACAACTAATTTTTTATCAAGATTAAGAAAATAATTGAACCAATTTTTTTGTCATTTTTTTCTTAATTTACCCCTAATATATCATTTATTTCTCCTCTAATATTAATACATGTCTTAAATTATATTTCAATCTTCGATGAGATTTTAAATACTTTGTTGGAATGAATGGAATACAAACAGTTGCAAAAATGAAGTTTATACTCTAACATGTGAAGAGAAATTCATTTTTTGTCCTTTATTTGAAAAAATTGTGTGACAATGTGAAAATTTGTATCCATTCAACGTTCCAATTGCCTTTGATTATTGAAAACGTACTTAAATATTGCACAATTTTTTAAATTTTCGACAAAGTCCATAAAAATTCCTTTCAATGTGGTCAACTTGAAAATTTTGTGGCATTTCTCTATTCAAACTTCTTTTTACTTAGTGCTCATATAACCTATATGAGCACATTTCTTTTACAATGAAAATTGATGTAAAAAATCCATTCATCAAAGTTTATTCACATTAAATACTTATCTATACTTTTGTTTGCCACTATCTTCAGAATCTCACATACTAAAAGTTTCACAAAGAACTAAAATAAGGATAATATAGACTTTTCACATTGATATGGTTCTTAAAGTTACCAAATTAGATAAAATTTTCTATATAAAAAGAACACCCAAAATGAAAACTTTTTCTATACAAAAAGAACAAAGTGAGTACTTGTTTACTATGTGAACATATATTATGATTTGCCACTGGTTTTATTAGGGTTGTGTATGATTTTTGGGGGAATTGAACCAAATTGAATTAAATTGGAACTGAAAAGCAACCATTTTACAAGAATTGAAACCAAAATCAAAGTCAAAAGAATTTACGCATTGGTTCTAGTTTTGATTCTTGCTAAGAACCGAATTGGAATCTAACCAGAATCAGATCTAACCTAAATTGAACTAAAACCAAACTGAAATTTATAAATATATTATTTAATTTAAAACCGTAGAACAAGTAAACAACTATTATATTTTATTATTTAAATTATAAATTATAGTATTATTTAACAATAAATATTAAGATAAGGTGATACTTTAAATAAAATTAATTGAATATTATTATTACTTAATTAGATTTGTGGCTCAGCCATTAAACTTTAATGCATTGTTTTTCATATGGACCATATTAAATTTGTAGGACCCCAGTGTCATTCTTTCTATTTACTTCTCTTATGAGACTAATCAAATAATATTATCTATGGATTTCTGGTGATTTTAAATAATATTTGAACTTATAATTTCGTAAATTTAGCAAATATTATTTTGGAATTACAATATACAATTTGCCCAAAAATCAACGTCTTCTACAACTTATCTTTGAACTTGTACCAAAAGTACAAAATGCCAAATTTTTATTCTAAAAATTAAATTATCTAATATAAATCAATCATGATTAGAAAGTAATTAAATATTTAATCCAATTAATTAAAAAATAAAAAATAAATATTTTTCTAACCAAATATTTCAATATAATTAAATATTTTTCTAATTCTATATTTTTTTAAATAGAATACTTGTTAATTATTTTTAAATCAAATACTGTAAATCTTTATAATTATTATTATATTTTTAAATAATTTTTCATTTTCTAATTTTAAAATTTTAAATAATCTAAAAAAATTTTCTTAAAAAATTTGGACATTTTGTTCTTTTGGTGCAAGTTCAAGGGACAAATTGCACATAAAGTTATTTTTTAGATAAATTGTCCAAATTTAGAGGAAAAATTAAGCCTTATTCCTATTATTTTTGGTCTGAATATAGAGAGCTATGTGCATGTTAAAAATATAATATTTAAATTCATAATTTCAATTATATATAGAGTGATTTTAGTATAAAAATATTTTCTCTGTTGATTTTTTAAGTGAATGGCAAGGTTTAAATATCATTACTAATAGTATCTTTTTCTCAATAATCAAAGAACAATAATTAACAATGAAATAGGAAAATGCCTAAAGCATGAATAAAATTTGAGATTTTTTAAATTAAATAAGGACTTCATCCCTTATTCATTTAGTTTAAGGGTCGGGCCTATCCAGATTTGAGTTCTCTATATGAATAAAAATAATTATTTTTATTATGAACTTCAAAATTAAAAAATAATATCAAAAAAGAAAAACAAAAATAATTAAAGAGTAAGCGCAAAATACCCCAACGACCCATATTACATATATCGTTTGGCAAGGTCGCCAACAATCAAGTGGGCGTGCCGGAGTGGTTATCGGGCATGACTAGAAATCATGTGGGCTCTGCCCGCGCAGGTTCGAATCCTGCCGCTCACGATTTTTTCAACCTTACCAAATATTTTACTTACCTTTTGGGTTCACCTCGTTTTCCTTTAATTAATAAGAATGGAGCTTTTGCCAAAAAAATCTTGTTTGCATTAACAAGAGTGGTAATATTGCCAAAGTGGTACTGTTAATGCCAAAAATACATTTACATTAGACTGCAATTTGATGGATAAGTTGCCGCTACATCTATTGTATCTAAGAAACTTGCTATGAAAATTTGCTTCTTTGGACAACAAAAACAATAGGTAATGGTGTTGGCATGTTGCAAGTGATTGTTGAAAGGGTTGACTTTTTTAGTGGGTATGAATAGAATACTGCAAACCTTAAGTTTAGCTAGTTGCAGTCAGAATATATATCCACTTGAGTCCATAATCGCAAGAATAAAAGAAAATGGAAGATTTTCGCACTTCGTTTGAAGGAAAGAAGAGAAAACAAGAAGATTATTTTAGGTGACTATTAAGTCATTTAAGTCTAATATAATTCATTTTCTCTTTTCTTTATTTATGCTTCGTAAGAATTTCTAGGACATACCACAAACACAAAGTCAGATCAACTCCAGTAACCTTTGAGGCATTCTAACATCAAACATGAAAAACCTGAAGATGCAGCATGTCAGAAGCAAAATGGAAATTAAGCAAAACATGTAAAGTTATATCCCACAAGTCAGCTCAAAGAAGCCTTATTTGTAAACTAGTTGGGATGACCTATTTCTATTTGGCTCTTTTCTCTTCCCTCCCTTTCTTTTCTTTCTTCTTAAGAACACAAGTAAAACCAAAGCAGTATCTGTAGTTCCTATTCCTCGTACAGCTGCACTAACAATAAAAGACTGCATCCTCAAGAAAGGAATTTTATAATTCACAAGCAGTCATAACTTAGAATCCCACAACAACGGTTCAAAAATATAATAGGCTAGATAAAAAAAATCAACAAATGCTAATAACAACAAACAATAATCCAACACCCCCCAATTTAGCATCATGCAGACTTCAAAAAAGATATCCAGTAAAAAATGCAAAAGTTATATATACTAATATTGTGATATCAATGTAAGCATTTTACTCTGTTAGTGATGTTTAGATTTGTTAAAGACCTAGCCTACCTAGTGAGCTTTTAATTTTTGTACAAGTGCTTCGTATACAAATTCCTTTCTTCCCCGAATAAGTCTTTGTTTCAATTTTGCCAATGAGGAAGAGGTAACCCTGATTCCTTTTTCAACCATACCCTCAGTGTATTTTAGTGCTTCGGGATCCATGTGGAGATCACAAAGCTCAGAAACCAACAAATTCCCTGTCTCTTCCAAGTCTGATTCATAATTCTCCACCATGCATTTCCAAATTTTGATTGCCATGCAAGGATCCTGCGAATGCATATACACCCTAACTGCTGCGCTACAATTTGCTTGATTAGGAACGTACTCGTTTTTAATCATCTCATTGAACACCGCTGATGCTGCCTTCAACTTCCTACCCTTAATCAAGAATTGAAACAAAACATCATATGTTTGCCTATCGGGAAACGCACCATTATAAACCATCTCATCCAAAAACTTTTCTGCAACATCAGTATTACAAGTATAACAATGTAAAGCAATCATCAAATTATACAATTCCGTATCAGGCATAAACCCTTTTCTCTCCACCATCACCTCCCAAACATAAGTAGCTCTCTTAATATCATTCAACTTCAAGCACTCTTGTAATGCTGCTCTAAAAAATCTTATTCCTGGAAAACAACTCCGATCTTTCATCATCTGCAAAAACTGAATGGCCTCATTCAATCCTTCACGGCCCATAAGCAAAGTACACAAAAATGTATCATAAGCTGGAAGATTACTAGGATCCCAGCCAATATCATTTACCAGCTCCATAAAAGTTTCTCTAGCATCAAGTACATTCCCTTCCTTTTCACATCCTTCCAACAAAATTGCGTATGTATCGGCATCAGGCCTAATTGCATTCTTGGCTACACGCAAAAACTGAAGAGCATCATCGGTTTTCCCATCTCTACAAATAGCACTCAATAATGAATTCAAAGCAACAATATCTCGGCTACATCCATATTGATCCATAACTTCAAATGTCATAATAGCATCTTTTACTTGACCAGCAATAACATAACTACCAAAAACAGAGGCAAAAGTGGCTAAAGAAACCAACCCTTCTCGCTTCATAGACTTAATTGCATCCCACATTGCATCAAACAAACAATTCTTACCTAAAAGATCAACAACAAGATTCCAAGAATAAGGGCTATGATTATCTTGAAGCTGAAACCCGGACCAACGGAAAAACTTGACGGCAGGTCCAGGGAAGGAGTAGGAAAGCTTGAGGACTTGTTCAACGTCAGACTGGGAAACTCGAACACCAGCGTCGGTGATTGCGGATTCGACAGCGGAGGAAGGAGTGTTGGCTATGAGTTCGCAAAGGAGCTTAATTTTAGAAGGGAGATTTGGAGTATCTATATAAGAAGGGAAATTTGGGCGTTTTGGAGAATATGAAGATTGATGCTCCGCTGTAGCTCTGGAGGAGGAAGAAGGAGAGCGGAAATGGTGTTTTTTTATGGCGTCGCGGTGGTGGTGGTCGTCGTGGTGACTCCCGCTCCTTATCCTCTTCCTGTTACTGGTCCGGGCCATAACAAGGAGATAGGTTGATCGATCGATTAATTTGGTTTATTTTGGGGATTTGGGGAGGAAAGATAAAAGAGGAGAGAGAGAGTTCAAAAACCCTAATTGGAAACATTGAATTGTTGTTACTCATTGATGACGATGATGATGGGCCTGTTCAGTGGGCTGTAAGCGTCCGGTCTAGTTAAATATATAGTCATGTCAATTTATTTTAACCAATGACCTCGATTAGATGTAACTAATAAAAAATTAAATATTCCATTCATATAAAATGTATCAATTTTGGAAACTCACGCTTGAAAACTTATCATATTTGAAAAATATTATTTCTGTTCTATAAAATTTATCATATTTAAAAAAATAATTTATTTTAAAATATTTATTATATTTGTAATTTAAGGGATAATAATTTTTTTTTCATATTTATCCTTTATATATAATTAATAATTATTATTTTAAATTAATAATTTTCTCAATGAACGGTCAACTTCTAAATATGACAAGTATAATAGAATAAACATAATAATTTTTACATACATATATATAATAAGTTTTCCTCCGATGCATGTACAATTTCAAAGAAATGATATGTTTAATGTTTAATTATTTGCTTTATATATTTATTTAGCCTCCGGTTATTTTCTGTGAAATAAATGGTAGAAAAATAATGTTTATAATTTTTTTGTTATTTGGAATGTTCAAAAAATAAATCAATTGAAAATATTTTTCAAGTTAAAGGAAATTAAGTTATTTTTAAAGAAAATGACTTTTCATTTTCAAAGAGTAAAATATTTTATGGGAATTAACAAATTTATTATAGTCTTATAAATATATATTTTTTTTAATTTATTAATTACTGATAGTTACCGTTCACCATCTACCGTTACTACTGGCCATTGGTCACCATTGGCTACCACTAGGAGTCACCAACAAAGATCATAATTTACATTTATTTTTGCATTTTTTTCATATCTAATCATACATTTTATTAGTATGAGATTTTTATTATTATTAATATTTTTATAATCTTATCAATTAATATTTTTAATATTTTATAATTAATTTTCAATATTGCAATTAAAAAACAGAAAATAAGTTATTTTTAAAATACTTTTCAACAAAGTATTTTTCATAAAAAGTATTTTTCAAAAATAAGTTATTTCGTTAAAACAAATGGAACTTTAAATGCAACATATGATTTTTAATTTATGATATATCTATTGTCTTAATTATTTACTTTATATTTATTAGAAAAATAAATTGAATTTATGATTATTTACTGATTAAATTAAATTGTGTTAAATATATCCATTTGCATCTATTTTCATAACACATTCGTCTATTGAATTCAATTAAATAAATGAATACCACTTTATAATTAAATGTAACATAATTATGTGAATAAATTAAGAATCATATTTTTGTTATTATTATTGTCCACCGAGAATAATTGAAAAAATAAAATGAATTCAAAAGTTTTACATATCTAAATTATTATTATTATAATGTAATTAATAAGATTCTGTTGGCAATAGGGGAGTGTTGCGAAACTTTGAAGAGATGATACTTTGCATATTTTTTTTAAGTTTGTTGGCATTTTAGATTCTAATGAAATCAAATTTTTAGCAATTTTTGATGTAGTTCAGATTTTTTAGTAATCAAATTACAAATTAAAAAGCTTGGTGATTGAATCATATTCAAGAAATGCTTGCTGCTGGATTCTTCAAAAGCGGAAACGACCATGGAAGTGGTGGAAAAGTTTTAATAAGTTTGATTCGACCATTACTCGGTTGAATCATATTGAGTTCAGACATGTTAGTAGAAATAACAATCATTTCGTAGATTACCTAGCAAAAGAAGGTGTTGAGGCTGATATATATTTTTGGCTTGAATATAACAAGTAAGAGTTGTAGTGTTTTGATATTTACAGGTTTTTTTTACAACTTATCTTTTCTTATCTCAATATGAGATATCTATGTCTATTTTGCACTGTTGTATGAAATTTTTGGTAATTAGGTCTTTTCACTTCACACATTGCAGAGGCCATTGGTCTGAGGGAAGTATTGTCTTGGTTGCTCGCGAGATCATATGGTGGGGTTCTACTGGAAACAGATTGTTTGCGACTATTTCAAGCTGTCACGACTGGTTTTGAACATTTTTCAGATTGGGCACCAGTGTTAAACGAGATTAAACAATTGCTTTCTCAAAATCCATCTTGTGAATTGATTTGGGCTAGGAGGCAAGTCAACAAGTTGGTTGCTCCGCCGAGATCATATGGTGGGGTTCTACTGGAAACAGATTTGTTTGCGACTATTTCAAAGCTGTCACGACTGGTTTTGAACATTTTTCAGATTTGGGCACCACGTGGTTAAACGAGATTAACAATTGCTTTCCTCAAAATCCATCTTGTGAATTGATTTGGGCTAGGAGGCCAAGTCAACAAGCCTGCACATGCTCCTTGCTCGTGTGACATGTTTATCATCCTTGTTTCCATTCATGATGACATGTATTCCGAATGTATTGAAGATCTTATTGCTCTGAATTTTATAATAATATTATGATCTCCTTTATTATAAAAAAAAAGAAAAAACTCAAGTGTAGTTTTAGGTGTATAAAAAAAAAAAAAAAAAAAACTCAAGTGTAGTTTTAGGTGTATAGATGAAATCTACTGACTCAGGTTTAGTTTTTCAAATTTGATAAGTTTTGTTTGATTTTATAATTTAATAAAATAAAATATGAATAGGTGATAAAAAAAGATTTTGTTGCTATCTGTGTCATTGATATTATCGGTTGAAAATATTTCAGGAATGAAAATTTCTACTAATAAATGCTATCTATTGTAAGATTAATAAACTATAATTGCTAAGTGTCATTATTATTTTATAATTAAAATTTTGGAGATGTTAAAACTACTAATAATCATTGTTATTATTATTAGAAATAGTTATCATAATTAAAAATTTTATGATTCTGAAATTATATATGGGAATGACTATGTTTATGTTGATTGAAGGAATATTAAATTAGAATTTTACATATAACATGATATTTAAAATAGTACTTTTATTTCTGGATCAATTAATCTATTTTTTTAAACAAGACAATTATTTTTTATGTTTTAAAGATAAAAATTTTAAAAATAATAAAAAAAAAGAGTTGCATGACTAGCTCGCAAAAATTTGAAAAATGTTTTACACGTGCTATTATTATAAGAACTTAAGTTAAAACTTCAATTCAATTTAACAATCAATGAAAAATTCACGATAACCATAGATCTATATATTAGTTTTTTATTTCTTTTCAAATTTTCAATCATACAGAAAAATTTAAAAATAAAAAATATATCGGAACTGAAAAAACTCAATTGGGGTGCATAAATAAATATATTAAGCCCAAAAAAGAAAATCCGTTTCTTATTTATTTTTTGAAATGAAAAAACCCAATGAGTAAAGCCCAAAGGGCTCTGATATATGATCGAAAGATTCTATTTTCTCTGTCGCTATACTCACTGTAATTTTGCTTAGTACATGGCTGACCCTAAACCTTACTATGATTCTAATCGAAATCATGCTGCTTCACAATACCAAAACCCGAATCAAGCTTCAGCTTCAGTTCCCCTTCTTGCTCAGGCTCCGGCTCCGGCTACGTCTACCGTTGCTGCCTCTACCCCTAGCTCTCCTCGTGAGTATTACATTTTATATCCTCTGTTTGATTACAGCTTTATTTTTATTTTTATTTTTTGTTTTTGGCGTACTAAGTGAAGTTATATTGGGTACTAGTTGATTTTTTGTTTTTTTTTTTACATACTGATAAGCTGGCTTTGTATTCTGTCAACAAAGGGGTTTAGATTTTCTTTTTTCGAAAAAATTTTCTTTTTTCCTAAAAAAAGTTGGAAATTTTAATTTCATTTTTTAAAATTCCTAATATTGATACTGAATTGTTTTATTTTTATTTTTATTTTAACTGCATGTATTATTTTTGTGAAGATTTATATCTTTTGCTTGTCAATTGTTTATTCAAATTATCTTACTTAGAATAGTAATTAACTGATGAATTTTTATAAATGATTCTTTTCATTCTTGTATCTGTTTCATAGTATTAATGTTCTAAAGGATGAAATTTTTATTTAAATTTATAACATTATTATTGAAATGTTTTTTTTAATATTGTTTATTCAATTATTTAGAATAAACGTTACTGTTTATTATTATTTCTTGTCTTTCATAATGTTGCAGACCAATTGATGCATAAGAATCGATTACAAGAGTACACACAAAAATCTTCCTTACAATTACCAATATATCAAACCGTCAATGAAGGACATCAACATGCGCCTAGATTTAGATCAACTGTGATAGTGGATGGAGAACAATACACTTCCCCAAATACTTTTGCACATAGAAAGGGAGCTGAACAAGATGCTGCAAGAGTTGCTATGGAATGTATACTAAAGAAAACGAAGGATGAAGGATGTCCATTGATTTATGAGGTTTTTTCGGTTTATATATTAACATTGTCAAATATTAATCCTTAATAATTTAAACTACTCATACCATTTATGCATAGGTTTTAATAGAACTACAAGAGTTTTTCCATAATAGTCTTCATGGTTGGTATTCTTATTTGGCAGAAATGTTTCCTTTAAAGTTAGGTCTTTTAATGATATATGCACAAAACATTCTCTCTTTCCATGTGTACAAAGCACTTTGCTTTTCTAGCTTAATCTCAAGGTCAAAGATTTTTTGTTTGTTAATCGTTTATATCTATAATTGTCTTTTCAATTCGTTGTTAAATAATGTGTTCAAGAGTGATTTTGTGCATCTTTATCTGACTTTCAATTATGTTTTTTTCTCTTGGAATTAGTATGGTGTGCATTTTGCATTATTTGAGTATTCACAAATCAAATATTTGGATCCATATCATGAGACTTGGTTTAGTTTCAGTGTTCCCTACCACAACTCTTCTCTTTTGTTAGGTATGTGAGATCTAACAAAAAAAAAAAAAAAAATAAGGTAATGTTGAAAAAAAAAAAAAAAATACTCATGCATATGTCAGAATTTGAATATAATGGAACAAATATAATATTGAAGATTTGATTTCTATGGATAGAGTAAATGATACAGTTGAATGTTGAAACAATTCCTACCATAATTGCTTAGTTATATGATGCATCTAGTTAAGGATATTCAAGTGAATGATTGGATAAATGAATGGTAATATATTTTAGGGATAATTATAAAGTTAGTGTTGAAGCATGACAATTTTTTTTATTAATTTCAGTATATCAACTTTATTTTTCATCAATCAAGTGTCTGAATTGATAAATTTTTTATTTTGCCAAAATATCTTGCTGGGTGACAAAATGAATTATTTTACTCATCAATTCATTTCATTTCTTTCTTTAAATTTTGACCTTTCCCTCTTTATTTTATTCTTCCTTATTTTTGTTGATTATATGTAAAAAGAAATTATAAGGAAAGTATGATATTTCTCTCTTTTTTTTTTTTTTTTTTTTTTTTTTTTTTTTTTTTTTTTTTTTTTTTTTTTTTTTTTTTTTTTTTTTTTTTTTTTTTTTTTTTTTCAAATAAGGGCTACAAGGCACAAAGTGAAAAAAAAAAAAAATGAAGAAAAAGGATGAAATGGAATGGAGATTTATGCAGGATGCCATTCATTGAGTAAAATAGTCTATTTTAATTTTCAGATGAAAAAAATCTAGCCAAATTGCCCTTAGTAGAACAAAACTTATCCATTGAGAAAAAGTTTGGATGCTAATTATTTGATTATCCATATATTTTATTCATTGTTTCTTAATTGTTGCTAGGCATAACTTACATTTTTTTTGTTTGCTCTTCCTTTTTTTTTCCCTTTTGATAATTCAGGACAAAGTGTTTTGCAAGTCTATCTTATATGAATATGCAGTCAAGATGCAAATAGAAAAGCCTATGTACAACACATTTCAGCCACAAGGGTTGTTTCCAATTTTTGGATCCACTTTGGTTTTTAATGGTGTGACCTATACTGGTGACACTGGTAGAACCAAGAAAGAGGCTGAACAATTAGCAGCCCGTTCTGCGATCCTCTCTCTTATGGGTATCCTTCATCTATTAATTAATTCCATCTTTTAATTACTTATGGTTTTTTTTTTTTTTTTTTTTTTTTTTTTTTTTTTAAATTTTTTATGAGTGGTTGCCTTAATTGTAAAGCTATTTTTTTTTTTTTTTTTTTTTTTTTTTAATTTTTTTATGAGTGGTTGCTTAATTGAAAGCTATGATGCAGGGAATCCTGTATCAAGTGCAATTATTTCTGAAATAATCAAGTCCAAATCCAAATTATATGCTTCATTGTATAAGTTTAAAGAATCCCAACTTGATGCTCAACTTGATTCCCAATCCCAACTTGATGCTCAACATGGCATTGTGCCTGCAGTCAATAAAAATAAAGAAGCTGAAGTTGTTTTGGTTGGTAATAATGTGCCATTGCGTGCGATTCCACAACCCACATCTCCACAACCCCATGCACAAAATAGCACTGTGCCTGCAGACAATAAAAGTAAAGAAGCTGAAGTTGTTTTGGCTGGTAATAATGTGCCACCTCATGCAATTCCAGAAGCTATATCTGGGATGTGTCCATCACAACCCCATGCTCAATATAGCAATGTGCCTTCAGTCAGTAAAGATAAAGAAGATGAAGTTGTTTTGGTTGGTAATAATAGGCCACTGCGTGCGATTCCTCAAGCCACATCAGGAATGCATCATTCACCCCAAGCTCAATATAGCACTGTGCCTGTGGTCAGTGAAGATAAAGAAGCTGAAATTGTTTTGGTGGGTAATAACGTGCCAATGCATGCAATTCCACAAGCCACATTGGGAATGCATCCTCCCCATCACGAGTTCACCATACGAAAACAAGAACTAACCTTAAGGGGAATTGCATTTGTACAGCCAGTTTCAGGACAGCCTTTGGATGCTAATCCTAGTTCTGGGAGAAAACGGAAAAAAACTAGAAGAAAAGCTAACAAGAAAATGCGAAATGAACCTCAGTAAGTTTTAATTTTCTTCATTCATTTTTATGGCGTTTCACTGTTTTTCATTGTTTTCTTTGGTATGGATTATACACATGATGTTGAATGCTTCTTTTTGGAGGAGGTGGGCATTTTAAATTTCATTGGTTCAAAAGACTGCAGACTTGATTAGTGGGCAAACGAAAGTCTATGTCATAAAATCAATTAGCTTATGTTAGGTCAACACTTATCCACTTATAAGCTCTGGTGTTGCCCTTTTAAGGTTCCAATGTGAGTATTTCCCGAACAAGGCAGGGTAAAAATGATTGTCCATTATGAATACATTAACACTTGTTAGTGAGAGTAATTTTCTTATCCATAGGATTATGTGTAGCTTGGGGGAGGGAGATGCGGGATTTGGAAACATGCTTTTAGATTATGTTGAAACCTTCTCAACCTCCACGTAATATGCATGGAATCTCACTGCTTTTGGTCAGTGCAATAACTTGTAAAGGCAGCCTTGAGGCACAAGTAAGGAGCTTGGACTAATTGGTCTTGGGCTGAAAAATGATAGGAATGATTCATATGGAAGTCTCTAAACTCTATTGGGTCAGCTAACCTTTTTTTGACCATTGAACACCTCGGAATTCTTTTTGTTGAATCTATGCGGTTCAATTTGCCCAAATTACTTCTTTGGGTGTTAAAAATAAATGGATAGAGATGACAAGAGGTAAGGAAAGTGGTTGGATTGTACCACTAGAGAAGGTGGTGTAAAAATGAAGAGGTGCATATTTTAAACATATTGTATTTGATTTTTGATTCTATGTTGTTTGAAGATATTAAGTTTAGGTTTTGGTCGTGATAAAATGAACTACCTTGTGTGTGCAGATATACATAAATCAGAGTCAATAGTTATGGAAATAAAAATTTGCGTTTAATAGGTCAAATTGAAGATGAAAGGTTCAGTATACTCATATTTTTAACTAAGGTGTTAGGGTTGTCCTTGTGCATATAGTTTATCCCAGAATTATGGCTTTATTATTCATTTGTATACCAACTTCAGAATTTTGTGCATTAAGTTAGGAGGAGAAACAATTTATAGACATTATATGTGTTTCTGATCTTATATGCTAGTAATTATATGAATATATAAATGTAAACATAAATTTGAGTGTTGAAAAATTGCAATTTGATTAGACTCGAACTTTTTTGGTCTTAAACCAAAAACCAAGGGGAAAAAGAACACAAATTGACTGATTTAATTAAATTTTGCTGTGTACTCTTACAGAAATGAATACAGTAACATGATATAATGGTGTGAGGTATGAATCTTGAATTGCAGGTTGCCTATCAATTCAATTCCTTTTAGTCAGGCCTCACCTTATCCTGTAGCTTGATAATAAGCTCAGATTTCTGTTGTATGTTTTCTTGGCTGTGGATGAAAACTCTCATGTATATTTTCAGGATATACGCTAGTTTTAACCTTCAGTTTCAGTTAGTAGCAATTGATGTTAAAGGGTCGGAACCTTGGTGAAAGGTTCTGACTCGAACTGAAGAGAAAATTTTAATCATCTAGGTAGTTTCTCTCTTTAACATATGTATCTGAATAACAAGTATTATTGTTTTTGTATTTCTGTCAGGCTATTGTTATTTTTTTTATCATTAGGATTATTGTTAGTTTAGCCTGTAATTAAGTATGAAGTATACCGACCATGGTATATGTTGATCAGTGTAGAATCTTTAAAAGGCGAGCAGGAAGCATAGGTTGATCAATGTAGAATCTTTAAAAGGTGAGCAGGAAGCATACGTTGATCAATGTAGAATCTTTAAAAAGTAACATGTAGAATCTTTAAAAGGTTGAGTAGGAAGTATACCGACCATGTAGCATCTTCAGAAAGTGGTTCTCAATTTTACATGTCCTATTTTAAAGTTTATAAAATATTAAAAGCTTAGCGACTATGAACCAGACACAAAGTACCAGTACTGCGCGTAAAAGTACCTGTTTTTCTTCAGGTTTATCAGAAAGTTCGGGTCACTTTGTTTCTTTATTTTTCAAATTTATTACTCAAATTATTCTAGATGAGAGCCCTGGTAAGAAAAATAGTCAATTAGAAATTAACTTTCCCAAACTCAGCTTCAATTAGGGTTAGAATGAATTTATTTTTTCATGGAACGGTTTCACTCGCTGCAATTAAATTAAATCAAAGAAGAAGTGGTTGGAGAATCGTTGTATCATTCGTCGTCGTCGCTGTGCCAGTAACGTCAACTGCTGGTCATCACGTGCTGGCTGACCACCATTAAAGCCACTGTTTCTTAGTGGTGTTTGAAACTTTCAACTCCTTTTAATTATAATCTATGAACTATTCCTCAATATGCCAATAAAAGAAAGAAATTTGTTTTGGAACTGAATTTATGAAAGAATTTAAATTTACCCTTAAATTTTGTAATATTGTGCAGTTCTTCACACTAATAATAACAATAATAGTGCGCCACTCATGTTTGATTTATGTGTTTGTGCCTTTTGTGACAAAGCCCATGAATAAGAATGTGTCGCTCATGTTTGATGAAATGCCTATATAGGCCCATGGCTACTCTCTGTAGATGTAATAACTAACAACCATGAACCCTGTAAGAAAATAAAAAAGAAATGTAACATATAAATAAAAATCAGGTAAAAAAAGTTGAACTCCCAGACTCAAACCTGACTTGAGGCGGATCAGATAGCGGATGGAGTGAGAAAATTTTCTGGTTGGCTGAGTTCAAATTTTGCAAAACTAGATCCAAGCCCAGCACTGCCCGTCCCTAGTTTTGAATAATACTTCTTGCGATGGAGGCAGGGTAAACATTGGGCTAGTTCGATAAATTTGAATAACATTTTTAACCGAATTTAATTGAATTAATTTTTTAATCGAATTATTTTAGTCGAATTAATTTTGATCATTAATCGAACCGAAGTAAAAAAAATTTAATTAACTGATCGAATTTAATCAAAATTTATGATTCACCGATTTTAATTGAAATAAAAACTAACCAAAGTTATTAATAAAAAATAAACCGAAATAAAAACAAATCGAAATAAAAATAAAAACTAACCGATGATATTTTTTTAATTTTTAATTTTATTATCTACTAAATCAAATGACCTAATTTTAGGAGTCGGTTAATTTGATTAAATTAATTCAAAAATAAAAGATACAGAGGTATTTTATCATCAAAATCAAGTAAAGAATTAATTGTCACTATAAAGATTTATATTTATTAACAATATCACCTTAAAGCAAAAAGATCTAATAATAGTTTTTTTTATTTTAATTTTATTATTTAAAAGAATATATACAATTCTTTTTATTTATTAGAAGATCAGAAAACTCCGTCAACTACAATAATGAATTCTATATATCAATTCTTGTAATATTATTATTAACAAATTATACTTCAGAAAAAGCTTTGTTTTTTTTTTTTTTTTTTTTTAAGTTTCCATTTTTTTTTTTTTTTTTTTAAGTTTCCACATGTTTCCACTCTTGCACGCTTAATGATTTTTTTTTTTTTTTTTTTTTTAAGTTTCCACATGTGTTTCCACTTTGCACGCTTAAATTGAAATAATATAACGACAATAATAAATAGTCAAGTCTCATTGTATAAATATTGTTAAATCATATGAAATATATGTCATATATGATAAAATTTCTTGTTATAAATAAAGAGATTCATATATATATAAATCCGAACTAATAAAAATTTTCCTAAAATAATAAATAGTATTCAAAGTCTAGAACAGCTCAAGGAATCAAATATTCCTTCATAAATGTGCATGTGCTTTTTTGCGTGTATGCCAGTGTTACCATAAGAATAACATTTATGAAAAAGAAAATCGTCTCTTTTGCTCATGAATATAACGATAAATTATTTATTTCTTAATTAATTTAATAGTAGCAAACAAATTTTTAATTTTTGACAAATGATAATAATCTATAATTTCCATCTGAAATGAAAAAGAGAGAGAAACAATTCCAAAAGTAAAACGTGCCAGGTGGAATCTGAAAGTAGTCTAGTAAGCGGTAGGAAGGCTAACTATTTCCCAAGTAATTAATTAAGAAAAATAGAAATCTGAAGATAAGATGAGCAACCATTAAAGAAACAAATGGATAAGGGATTCCAAATTCATTGAAAAACATTTCCTCGAGACAAGGAATTAACAAGTCTTATTATTTCAATGCCAGCTTCTCCCCAAATTCACATTTCTTGTCTTCTAAATAAAACATACATGTGGATTATAATCTTCATTGGGTTTCTAAAATCTGTAATTAAATATCTTTATTTTTTTAAGAGAAATTTCCACTTTTTTGTATACCACTTAAATCTGATAACCATTAAAATTATTGGTTAGAAATGACTATTTAATTTACCATTGAAATTATTATGCTTAAGAGTAATTAATTAGGTTTAATTTTGTGGTCCCTAGTTTACTAGCTTTGAATCTTTAGCCGGTAGTTATCTATATAACACTTTAAATTAAAATTGTTTAAATAACTATTTAATTTAAAATGAGAAAGGAAGACATTAATTGTTTAATTATTCAAATTCTAAGGAAGAAAGTAATACATATGATTGTCAAAAAAAATTTAATTAAAAGATAAAACACTAAATGTTAAAAGTTAATGTTTCATAAAATCTTCCCTCAATTCATAAAGCTATTACCCAACACTATAATTAATACACATAGAGTTTTAATTTGGTCTAAACGTGAAAAGCTGGCTCAAAACAAGACGGGAAGGAACAAACAATAAGAACAAGATCATACTCACTCACATGTGAGGAATTCTTGAAACAAGGCTGAACAGAGGCAAACAATATCCATATTTCTTCTTTAATCACTAATTTATAGCAATCAAGAATTTTAAAAACCAATCTCCCATGACTAGTATAGTGTACACATCAAGCATGGAATTAATGTAACATATATATATATATATATATATATATGAGATTCCACGTGGTGAAGCAAGAAGGGAAAGAGTATAGGAAGCAACCTTTTAGGTTCTTGATCAAGAAAGTGAGAACTGTCTATACTCCATAATATGGGAATCTTGAAAGACGTGGGATGGCTGAAGATCCGGCGAGCCCTTCGCTGCTTTGCTTTGCTATGGCTAATTATTACCTTACTGTGTTTATTCTTCTCTTCCATTTTTATTCACCTCTGCCAGCTAACAATTCTAATACTCCTTTGCAACTTCATTAATCTATTGAATGTGTTTAATAAAATACATTACTTTGTTTGTGCGTTTCTTGTTCCCTTTGCTGTTTTGACTACTGATTAAGATTAGAGTTTACAAAACATAAACATTAGAACTAATTCATAAACATAAACAATTAAAGTAATTCTTGGATTCAAACTAAAAATATCCTTTATTAATATAAAAAAAAGGTGCAAATCAGTACAACTGAGATATTAACATCTGGATTTGCAAGCTCATATATATTTATTTTTGTACATTTCCTGTTTTCTATAGCTATTTAGACATGCAGTTTAACCAGCCTCAATCACACACCTTAATGAATCACCATTAATATAAATAGCCCTTTGTAGCATCTCCATCTTCATATGCTTATAGTTACTTGAAAACCAGAGCCAAGTAACCTCAACTCTCTCTCTCTCTTTCTCTTTAAATGGCACTAGCCAAAGATCGCACTTGGGCTTATAAGTTCCAGGTGGAAGAAGGTGAAACCAACAGTTTTGATCATATCATAAACAGTACTAATAACTTTGCTATGAGCCATTCTTCTTCTTCTCTTGGCAGTCCAAGCAGCGCGAATTCGAACGATTTCTTGTTTCATTCTAATAATAGTGGTATTAGTAATCAAACTGAAGAAGCTCATTCTTTGATCAATTTTGCCGGCGGATTTGATAATTTCATCCATGCTAATGGATCGTTGCTTAGTTTTCAGCATAATAACAATAATTTCAATTACAGCTATAAGTGTAATAGTGTAGATCCTCGTTTATCAGAGGATATTAATTGTTTCCAAACAGCCACTAATTCCAATCCCATGACAAATTTTGGAAAAGAAAATATTGGGGATTGGTTGTACTGTGAGAAAACTATGGGTACTGATGATGATTCCATTATTCAAGAATCTGGAGAAGTGCAAGAAGTCAACTTTCATAAGCGTCCTAATTTGGTAATTTTTTTTTCTTTTATTTTTTTTTAAATTGAAATGGCCTTTTGTTTATCATACAGTTCTTGAGTTAAAAAAATTGTTTTTTGGGTTGCAGGGAGAGAATATGCAGGCTTTGAAGAAGCAATGCAATAGTGCAACTAAGAAGTCAAAAATAACAAAACCATCTCCGTCTAAGGATCCGCAAAGTATTGCAGCCAAGGTTTGTTCTTTGTTTCCTTTTCTTTTTCTTTTTCTTTTTTTTTTTTTTAGATTTCATAATCAATTTTATCATGAATCAATTTTCATTTACTATGCTAAGAATTTGTTTACCGAAGTAATGTACTCCTTTAGTTCAAAATATAAATTATTTTTGAGTGATTATTTTATCTCAAAATGCGTTATTTTGAGTATTTTAAAGAGGAATAAATAATGTTCTTTCAATGTTATATAGTCCATTGATGACAATTGGCATCAGTGGTTAATTATTAGCAATTCAAGAGGTAAATGCTAACATTTGGAAATATTAATTAATATTACTCCAATATTACCAAATAAGGCGAAATTTTCCATATAAAATAGAATGCCCACATAGAAAAGTTCCTATATAAAAAAAACGAAGAAAGTACTATTTCCAAACGAATCCTAAGTCAACCTCTTTAGTTTTGCCTTAGTATTAAGCCAAAAAGAAAAATCAACATAGGATTTTTGCTTTTGGGTTCATAAGATAATGTTTAATTTTCTAATCAGAATCGACGAGAGCGGATTAGCGAGCGGCTTAAGATATTACAGGAGCTGGTGCCTAATGGCTCAAAGGTACTCATGAATTATGAATATTATTAATTATCTATTTCAAGAAAGAATAACAATTTTCTGTACACAATAGTTGCCAATTCTTGATAATTTCTTCCGCAGGTTGATTTAGTTACCATGTTAGAGAAAGCCATTAGTTATGTCAAGTTTCTTCAATTGCAAGTAAAGGTAATAACCTAATCAAAAACATATTTTAGCCTTTTTTTTTTTTTTTTTTTTTTTTTTGGTTGATTTAGTTACCAATGTTAGAGAAAGCCATTAGTTTATTCAATTTTCTTCAATTGCCAAGTAAAAAATAAACCTAATCAAAAAACATATTTTAGCCTTGTTTTTTTTTTTTTTTTTTTTTTATTACTTAAAGATTTTCAATATGTATGGTGGTAAAAACATAATAAATTGACCTTTTTTGAACAAAATTTTTTTTTTTTTTTTTTTTTTTTTACCTTAATGATTTTCATATGTATGGTGTTAAAACCATAATAATTGACCTTGTTTTGAAAAAAGTTATTTTCTGATATTGTAGGTGTTGGCAACAGATGAATTTTGGCCGGTTCAAGGTGGGAAAGCTCCCGATATTTCTCAAGTAAAGGAAGCCATTGATGCCATCCTTTCATCTCAAAAAGACAGGAATTCAAGTTCAAGTTCAAAGTAATTAATTTAATGGTAATTATCCAAGAAGAAGATGATGATGAGAAGCAAGAGAAGAAACATTATATATATTGAAAAGATCGAACTTTGCAAGCAAATTATTTTGGAAATTAGAAATGTTGGTTTAATTAATTATTAAGAAATTAGCAAAATCAAAATACATAATTATTTTTGTTTTATTTTCTTCTAAAAAGACTTGTAAGGAATTCATAATATTAATAGATATACTTTTGTGATGTAATGAAACTTGAGATTGCAAATCTTGGTTTCAAGTTTGATCGTAAAAAGTTATATTAGAAAAGGATCAACATATATATTAACCGTATGCTAATTAATTAGAGAGTGAATCTAATTAACAACCATTATGTTATCTTCCTTTTGCTTTTGTTTTGAAGAAACAAAAAATCCAAAATTACAAATTATGGCTCCCATGTTTTTTCCGACTTAGATTTTTCTTTTGGAGAAATTGAGCTAAGTAAATTTCGATTGACAAAAAGCTTTTCTTTTTTTTTTTTTTAACTTCATTAACTAAAAGCTTAACAGAAAGAGTGTTTTGCATGTATTATTATTGAATGAGGAATAAAGGGTCCCAAGATTACATATCTTTAGCCAATCCTAGTAATAACGAGGAAAGTTAATAAACATGGGATAAATTTGTCTAGACAGAGTCTATAATTTCATCCGCTGACTAAACTAATTAAAATAAAAATTTTCGTTCAAATGAGAATATTTCTGATAAAAAAAGAAACAAGAAAGTAAATAATAAAATCACAATTTCAACAACAAAAATTAACGATATAATACAACCAGCTAAAATTGAAACTACGCTAAAATGGTAGGTTTTGACCTCCAAATAGCTAGGAGGCTTAGATTTCAGGTCAATTTAGAGATAGGATAATAATTTCATAAAATAGCAAATTTATTATTATTATTTTTTTGAAATTTAAATATTTTAATAATTTATTATATGTAAAAACACATTTTCAAATTTATAAAGAGTGAATAATTGTTATTTTATTCCTGATTATTCCATTATGTAAACCAAAGAAGTTTAGATTGGTATCATCTGTATCCTCTAAATAATATTTCCATCTAAATCTTATGTTAACTTGATGCCTTTTTATAACTTATGGACTACATATATGGGTTTTGATACTATTGCTACAAGAATTACTTCACTGTAAATCTTGGAAAAAATATTTTTAACCTAATTTTGAAGATTATTATAATCAATATTATTGTTTATCGTTTATTTTTAGTCCATCGGAAATACTTGAAGTTGAAGGGCGACGAAATACTTTGGACGATTGAAAATAAGATAAAATGCTTTGATCTAGTATATTTAGATTACCTCATTTGTAGTGGATTGAAACTAACAAGGCTAATGGCTTGATTTTGGAATTTGGACGTGAAAATAAGTGATTGAAGGTGGATTGAGAAAATTATATAGACATGTGAAACACTTATGGATCAGAATTAGCATGAACTTGTCAAATATATAAATTTAGTAAAATCAAGTGAGACAACAGAACTTAGTGATAGGGTAAGAAGGGGACCATTAGGCAGATGTTGTTTTTAAATGATCATCACATGATTAATCACATGTTCTAATCCCATATAAACCGGTATTCAAACAACTCAAATTAAATGAACCAACAAAATAAAATTAATAAATGTTTACTATATTTATTATTATTATTATTATTATTATTTGGTTAGCAACGAAAGAGTTTCCTTTTTTTTTTTTTTAATTTTATAAAAAAATTGTGTTATTGAGTTAATTGTTTAATACATAGTCTAATGTTTATACTGACGTACATTTTTTAATTTTAGTTTGAATTTTTTTTTTATCAAAAAGGGTTTGTGTTGTATTACATTGACAATTAAGATTTTTGATAAAATATTAAAAAAAACAAATTAATTAAGGTCATGTTCTAATATACTTGGCAGGAATCTGTGAAAGATTAGTGGAACTCCAAGAAATTAAAAAGAAATTTCAAATGAAGATATGTTTGTCTCTTAAGCACCCCAGAGCATCCATCACGCTCATGTTTCCCTTAATTGGGTAATCTTCATTTGCTTTTTATATGGATTAAAGCAAGTCTAACTAATCTTTTTTTTTTATTACCATAAGTGTTTCTGTGTCTTCTTTTTAAATGTTTGACTATTCTCATTTTAAGATTCCGTAGATTTTTTTTACCTATAAATATTTTTTCCGCGGATCAAATTTAAGCGTTTTATTAATTGAGCTACTTGTTATGGGAAATAATAACTAACCCCTTTTTAATTTTAAAAAAGAAGTTTAGTTGCTAGATGCATTAATAGAATTCAGGGGGAGAAGGGAGAGTCTTGGGCCTCAGTCAGCCAGTCTAAAAATCTTATCTTGTAACTAAAAATATCTCGACTTATTTTCTCTCATGGGCTCCTCAATTACCAGTAAAGTTCTTTCAATTTTTGTGGTAATTAAAGTATATTTATCTTCTTCTCCCTTTGAATCCCAAAATTAATAAATGGTATTGAAATTTAAAAGAAGTACTTATTTATAAACATGATTTTTAATTAATAAGAATGTATTGGTCTTATGATCCAAAATACATGGATATGAAAATGAATGTCAAAAAGTCAAAAAAAAAAAAATTCAAAATTAATAAAAGAAGAATATGATCCAAGTAGGAATTTAGGACAAGCTGTTAAGCATGTAATTGCACATGAGAAAGAGAAGAGAGAAAAGAAGTAGTACATGCCATTGGTCATGTGACATGAAAGAATTATTAGCAGGATGGATGTAATTCTACATAATATATAATTTAGTAAATAAATACATGCATCATACCAACTCAAGTAATATACATTATGTTAGCCACATGCACGTGTGATTTAACATGATAATAATAACACTAATAATAATAATAATAATAATAATAATAATATAGTATATGGCTAATACTATAATGAGTTGACAATATATTGCTGAGCTTAATTATTGGTTAACGTGGAAACAGGCTAATACTACACTTTGCATTCCTATTTAATCATTTCTTAATAACTTACATTTCTCATATATATATATACACACACAAGTTCCAAATGGCTAACTTAAATTATAAAGATAATTCTTTTTTTCGACTTCTGAATATTGAGAGAAAATTCAAACATAATCTTATTGTTAGGTTATATATTTTGTGCCTTTTTCTCGGCTTTATAATATTTATTTAAATACTTCAAGAATAGCATAACAAATACCTATGTAACAATACAAGTTTGAGTTAAAGGAAAATATTATTTTAAAAACAAAAAGAAAGGACTCGAAATTTTAGAAATGACCAATTTTCTCTTTTTTATTGGTTGCAATAATAAAATTACTGAACTATTGTTGACACCAGCCTAATCCCAGCCTAAATGGACATGGCCAAGAATGGAGCCACAATAGAATGACAAATCAAGCAAGTGGCCTAAAACCCAACTTTGTAAATATTTTGCAAACCCTGTATTTATACTGTATAGAAACGTGGTAACAGAGAAATAATAAGTTTTTCGATACCCATTAGTGTAATTTAAAATATGCTAAAATAATTTTGGTTATAATTAATTAAAAAAATTAAAAGTTAGATATATTTATAAAATTTATTTTTTAAAATAAATACTACATACATAATTAAACATTTCAAAATTTTAAGTTCTATCTTTTTAATATATTTATAAAATTTTATTTTTTAAAAATTAAATACTAACATACATAATTAAACATTTCAAAATTTTAAGTTCTATCTTTTTAAAATTTATTTTAATAAAATATATATGAATAAGGAGATATATGATAAGGAGACATTTAAAAATTTTTGTATTTTATTTTTTAAATATTTGATTTGATTTTAATTTAATTTAAAATATTTTATTTTGGAGAAAAATAAAAAAAAGAAAAAAAATATTTTTTTATTAATATTCCTTATATTTGTATTATTTGAATGGATATATTTTTTAAAAAATAATTTTCAAATAGGATATACATAATATTTTGTTTAGGAGAGAGATAAAAAAGGAAAAAAAAAACGATTAGTTTTATTATTATTTTTTGTTTGTATGATTTGATTGAGTGGGTATATTTTTTTAAAAAATACAATGAACATAATTAAACCTTTCCAAATTTTTAAATTTTTTTACTTTTCACAACTTATGTTAAATAAAATGAACATATGTTTGTGAGAGATTGGCAAATAATTTAAAATTTAAATTTAAAAAATATATGCATATTTTATTGATATATTTATATATTTATATCAATCGGGTCTGTAAGTGCATATTTTAAATGTAACCACACACAAGTTCCCAAGTGGCGCTAACTTAAAAATTACTATAAAAATGATAATTTATCTTTTTTATTCGAACTCTCTAGAGAATTAATTGAGGAGAGGGTTAAGATTCAACTATAATATTCTTATTATAGTTAGGTATTTATTATAACTTTTCCTGTGCCGGGTTATTTCTCGGGCTTTTTATAAAATAACTCATTATTTAAATACTTCAAGAACTAGCATAACAAAATGGAATCCTATTTAATGTAACAATAACAAGTTTGAGTCATTTTCCATTTAGTATGTGGTTAGAGAGTGGTCAATGTTTGGGAGTAAGAAAACCAGGAAAATATATTTTAAGAGGAAAAGAAAACAAAAGTTAAAGTCGAACACTTTGAAATTTAGAAAATGACCAATTTTTCTTTTTCTTTTTTAATTAGAGATAATGACAAATATTTTACCTAAATATAAATAACTTTGGGCTTATTAACTGTGAATGCTACTGTGAGAACTATTGTTGACTACCTTGGTTAGCCTTAATCCCGCCTAAAAGGACAATGGGCCAAGAATGGAGCCACAATAGAATGAACCAAATCAAGCAAGTGGCCCTAGAAAACCCAACTTTGTAAAATATTTTGCAAAAACACCTGTATTTACCCTACACTGAGTAATGACGAAACGTTCTTTAAATGGGCGCGGGTAAGGAGGAACTATAGGGAGAAATAATAAGTAATTTTTTTCACGATTAGAAATAAC